AATGTCCCTTGCCCTCCTCAACCCATGGTAGAAGGGACCATCTCCTGACAGCTGTGGACCAGCTCTCCCTGTCGCTGCCCAGCAGATCCTGCTAAAGGGTCAACACGGACCCCACAATAACAGCATCATCATCTTTTCCTCACCTGGTCCCACTCCCAGACATTAAATACCCTCACAGATGGGGATGGGAATGTTCTGCACATGCTCATGGGCCTCTCTGGGCCACCGAGGACAGCAGCTCCAACTCCCTCCATAGGGATGGACCCCTGCCATCATCACCACATCACAGCAAGGATTTGCACTACATTCTTCTCTCCTGTGCCAAGCCCTGGTGGAGCTGACCAGCAGAGAGAATCATGACCTCCTATCTGCTCACCCCAAGGTGCCTACAGGGCCACCGGTTTGACTGCAGACCTTGCAGAGGCCCCTCCATGTACCATGGCTTTCCTCCTGGCAGCATGCAATCACCATCCATCTCAGAGGCCTCGGGACAAGGCAGCAGAGCCCTTCCCACATCCTTGCATCTCCCCTGCCTGCACCAGGAGAGAAAGGCTCACCAGAGAGTGGCCGATGCGTAGTGGCTGGAGATACGGTACTGCCTGAGCATGCCGCAGGGGCTTTGCGTGGTGAACTTCTCTGCCACATAGAGGATGGGGCTGGGCAGCCCCCTCTCCCGGCCTTCACCATAGCTGTGGTCATAGTCTGCATCGAAGCTCCAGGCAAAATGCTCGTTGTAGTTGATGGTCTCGTTGACCTGATTCACTGGGTTTCCTGCCAGAGGGAGAAGACTGAGGACCTGCTGGGTCCTAGCAGCATGGTCGCTGCCAGCCAGGAGCATGGGCACCGCAGGGACAGCAGGGTCCCAGGAGCCTCCATGCAGACCAAGGCTATTCACAGAGCACTTGGAGATCTCTAGGTCCATGGCCAGAGCTGCAGACGGGGACATCAGACTCACCCACGAGCGTGACGTTCACGCCCGCCAGACCGACATGGAGCCCGATGTTCGCGTTCACCATGGCACGGCTGAAGGACTTGTAGGAGGTGTTTGCCTTCACCCAGCCAGTCTCCCAGTCTCCTGTGAACTGTACAGCTGCCAGGAAAAGTAAAGCCGGGGTTAAAGAGGGGCTGGGCTCAGGCTTTGCTGTGCTCAAGGGGGTAATCGCGGGCGAACACAAACGGCGGCATTCCCTCCTCAGCACTGGAAGGGAGGGTAAGGAGGGCAGGACAGCTGACTCAGCCACCAGGACGTGCCTCAACCAGCTCCCACGCCCTGGAAGAGCTTATGTCCTCCCCTTGCTGAGCATCCACTCCCTCAATCCAGGAGCGGGGGAGATCAAATCCCCGGGGACAAACCCCGTGACCTGATTCCTCCTTGGACAAGTTCTCCAGGACTTCCCTGCAAGCTCCCCACCACGGCGAGGTGATGAGACCATTCCTGAACCTTGGGAACAGGGGTGAGTTTCATTCCAAATGTTAAGCCCTCTAGATAGCACTATCAGTGATTAGTGAAGATCACCGTCAAATGGAAGGCGGTGGAGAGGGATAGCAAGTGCCACCACAGCTCTGACAGTCATTTCAGCTGGGGGGGGAAGAAAAAAATTGAAGCATTTCTGGATTTTTTTTGGAATGAAGTATCTTTTTCTGAAACACTTTCACTTTGCAGTGGGCTTAATTTTCCAGCACTGAAACGAGCTGAAAGTGAAGGTGATGATTTAGTCGCAAGCTGAACAAGAAAACCTGCCCAAAAATAAGTTCAGCTGCTGAATCAACTTGTGAGGGCACTGATCCAGTAGCAGCTCCGCAGGAACGTTTTCTAGCTGCAGGGTCGAGCATGCCCTGCTGCCGCCAGACAGAAACCCTGACAATGGCTGTAAAACAATTAATTCCTCCTGTGTGCCCAGGCAGTGCTTGGCTCCATCCTCCTAACGAGAGCAGTGCTGGATGGCTCTCCAGGGCTGAGCTGGTTAAGGCTGCGGAGCAAGCCCTGATCTCCACCTCTCTGCCATCTCCACCCTGGCACCACGTTCCCGGGAAGCTCTGGTGGCATCTCCCAGCACCTGGACATGTCCATGTGGAGGGTGACCACCGCACATTGGACTGGCCCATGTGTCAGCTGGCAGAGTCCCGCAGCTGGTCACAGCCTGGCTATCTTCTTCTATTGCTTGGCCGAATCAGGGCTGAGTCATTTAGGTTGTGCTTCATCTTCCCTCTCCAAGCAGCCTTGTAAACCATCCTGTCCTTCTCAGCAGGAGCGTTTCTTTGATTTAGGGTCAGGGCTGGTTGCTCTCCCCATCTGGCATCTCCTGTCCCCTCAGTACATCTTTTGCTTACACGTCCTATCGCCCTGTCCAAGTTGGAAATCCCACAGCCTGGTTTCCACCACCACTCCCATTTATTAACAGAAGATTTTCTGGTTTCTACTAAATCATCGCCTCCTGCTCCTTGGAAGGTCTTTATCCCCCCTGCCCCAACCTCTGCCCTGCCTGTGTTTTATTTCCACCTGCTCTCTGCACATCACTGCAAGGCTCCTTTCATCCTCCAAACGTGCCTGGCCATGGTCCGAGCTGCTCAGCCGTGCTCCCTCAGCAGCGGGCAGCTCAGGACGGCTTGCATGGTCAGAAGAACATGGGGCCGTGCAGCCCACCAGAGCTGGAACTGTTCGAGCTCCGCGCAGCAGATACAGCCAGCAAAGCTGTCTCTCAACTCAGACGTGACCAGGGCACCTCCAGGTGCTCTCAGCCCCCGTGCCTGGGATGGGGAAGCCCTTTTGGGAAGCTGTGTGACTGCTTTGCAGATCAGGGGTAGGGTAGACCCTGCAACCAGCCTCGGCCAGGCCACAGCTGTGACCACCAGCTCACATTTCCCAAACGCAGACCCTGCCCCTGGGTTTAATCCTGCCCCCAGACCCACCCTCCAAGGGCTGCACAGCACTTACCAACGATCACCACTCCCACGACGAGGCTGAGGAGAACCCGGAGAGTCCAGTACAACCTCTGCGGAGAGAGAGGTGGGACATCAGGCAGGGACGAACAGCCCCAGCTGTCCTCCTGCCTCAACCCAAACCAGCCGGGAGTGTCCCAGCATCCAAAACGTGGGGAGCAGATGTTTATCCCCAGGGAGAGGGGTCACGCACCGCCCGTCCGCGGATGCCCGGGATGATGAGCAGGAAGCTGCAAGTGAGCGTTAGGAAGACCACGATGACTATGATGGTGCTGACATCGAACACAGAGACCTTCCTCTGCTGCAGGTAGAAGGGGTAGATGCCGTCAAAAAGAGTCATCCTGCACCTCTGGCAGCCTGCGGGAGAGAGGCGGTCACAGCGGGGACCTTGCGCTGCCCTGCCTGCGGTGGCCAGCCCCAGCTCAGGTCTGCAATAACCAGCTGCAGGAGGTCCACCTCAAAACTCCCCAGAGGGACAAGGAAATGTGACGCTGCAAGGAAACAGGCAGGGCGAAATACTCCCCAGCAGAGAAACACACCACCCAAAAGCCCTCGGAGGAGGCGAGGAGGTGCCTGGGGCAGGGCTCCACCAGCCTGGAGGGTTTGTAGCAGCCTGGGGAACCAGGAGCCGCTGTCCTGCTGCAGCCTGAGGAGCAGCCCAAGCCCAAAAACCTGCTGAGCAGCTCCTCCCCAGACGGAGCTGGGTCCTTCCCTCCAGCAGATGCAGCCGGGGCTTTCTGCTTCGCGGTGCACCCTTAGAGGAAGCCCATGAGACGGTGACCATCGGCAGATGCAGCCTTCCTCCAAAATGACAAGGACCCACTGAGAACATCAGTTTCGCAGCAGCAAAATTATCCCCAGCCAGGGGCCAAGCGGAATGACGCCCACCACCCCCATTTCCAGCCCCTCTTCTCGAAGAGGCTTTTCCCCAGGAGCTGTAAAATACAGTCTGGGGAGGGAGGACTGTTCCTGCGCTTGGTCCAGAGGGGCCAGAAGCAACCCCTAGAGCTGGGATGTGGGTCCAAGGAGCACGCTAGCATCAGGGGCACATCTCAGGGCTAAAGGAAACTGAGATACACGAGACGACGGAGTGTATAATTCCCATAGACGTCTTTGAACTCCCACTGACACTTTAGTTCTAGAAATTACAGAGCTCCCCCCCGTTCCTGGGTTAGATCTTTCCTACCAAAACTGATTACATGCTTAGTCCTTCTATTTTGCTTCTTTAATAGCATCTCTGCATGTAACTACCCCGGGAAGTCTTCTAACGTCAGGGAATGCCAGAGCTAATATGACTCATGACCAAATACAATTTCATTCTGTCCCTGCATGGAGGAGTTGATTTTATTCTCATTTTCTGAAAACAGTATTAATCGTAATTTTAGGTAAGATCCAACCCAGAGCAATTCAGCCACAAAAAAAGCGGGTCCCAAATCCCCAGAAGTGGGTTGGGATTACATTAAGTATCATAAAACAGTTTACCTGGGCAGCTGAAGTCACTTTTCAATGCACAAAGCAATACTTGGTTTCAGAATAATTCTCTGTCCAGTAACCCGGATCATTACAGCAAACAGTTTAACAGAGACTGGGTTTTTACAGCTCGCTCACAACTGATCTGCACCTGACCTTATCTTGACTCTCTGCTCCCAACTAACAGAGCTATCACACATACTTACAAATCTTGGGTTGGGCTATTTTGCTGTAACTGTTTTGAGCTATTTGCCTGGAAAGCCAAGCCCAGAGAAAGGCAGCCTTCACGAATCATTCTTGCTATGATTACCTGGCAACCAGGAGCTGTGATTGATTCCCAATGCTACGAGGTCGGACTGAAGTCCAGCTGTGGGTCCCCAGCCCAGCAAACGTGCCCACAAAACAGTCTGAGCGGCTCTAAGAGAAGAAATAAATGAACGGTTTAGCCTAGGACAAGTTAAATCTTGATTGCTTGAATTCCACTGGTTCCATCTTTGCCCAAATTTCGGTGAGATACAATGGGGGAAGGAATGATTTCCAAGTCTGCATTCACCGAAACGCAACTCTCCACAGCTTAAAACAGATCAATGATACGTAACAATTGAAAATGCAGAAAAAATGGAAAGTGTTGCCTTGTTAAATCTAAATTTAACTTTCAAACAATATCAAAGGATGTTTGAATTTCCTCTACACTTTGCAGCTTCTGGGAATAGTTTTAGAATTTCCAGGGAAACAACTCTTTCTGTTGTTGTTTGCCTAATCTTTCTCACTTGATTACCCTGCACAGAAGACCAGCTCCTTGGCATTCTTACAGATTTGAAGTGGAAGACTGGTGCCTGCAGCTCAGGGCAGGAGAAACTGAAGCTGTTGCACCTTGGAAAGCATCCTCCATGCAGAAGCATGGCTGTGGCCCTAGAGTACCTGTGGTTTCCTCTGTCAAATGTATGGAGAGGGAAAAGACTAGAGACATCTTCAAGGAAGGATCAGCAGTTTAGCAGAAATGGACAACTTATCTTTTGCTTAAAATATTCTGGACTGGCAGGGGAGAAAGGCAAAGGAGGCAGAAAGTTTTCCCAAACCCCAGCAGTTTCTCCTTACAGAAATCCCATTTTCCTGCCCCAGACTGAATCAAGCTGGAAAGGACCATTTGGAAGTGTCCCGCCAAAACCTCCTCACAGCAGACCCAGCAGCAATCCTAGATGAGGTTGTTCATGGCTGCAGATCGGTATTTTCCATTGAAACAAGAGAAATCCTGTCCCCTGGAAACGGAATGATCAGAGCTGCGATTCAGGGATGGCGAGGCTGGGGGGAAACCTCCCGCATTTTCCTTTCCCCTGTCAGAGGGCCAAATCCGGACAGGAAAAACCACCGGGTTGACTCACGA